TAATGTAATGTAATGTAATTATAATGTAATCATAATATAAAAATATAATGATATAAATATAATATAAAAATATGATATACAGTAAATTCTTCCTAATTGACGCTCAACTTGCACACAAAAAATGAACAATTTGGGAAGATTAGATACGATTGCGACTCGTTTTTATTGTTACCGATTGTCAACAACTATAAAAACGAGCCGCAAAGCTGGAATAATCATACCTCCTCTTCCTAAATTGTTCATTATTATGCACAATCTGAGCGTCAATTAGGAAGAATTTACTGTAAATATAATATAAAAACATGATGATATAAATATAATATAATAACATGATGATATAAATATAATATAAAAATATTGTATAAATATAATATAATACAATATATAATTTCTATTTGTATATTAACCAAAAGGTCTCATCTTACATGACCATTAGGATCATAAGTGTGGCAGACCGAGGCAACTATACTTGGTCTCCGAAGCACAACACTTCACCGCTGAATTTTGAAAATTTTTTATAAAGTTATCAATAAATAACATTACTGCGGCGTTTATTATTAACGAACGATTTGAGAACTTTGCGTAATTTTAATTAAAATATAAATAAAGTGTGTGAATTCCACTTCTATATTTATACACATACTAATATATTACATTTTCTGTATAGATGTAAATAACTGGCATGGTTATGCGAAACGTTATTTTAAACGTCTATTGAAGGCACAGGTAAAAATATCATAAAAGACGATCTTTACTACTTTCTTCGCGTTTTCGACCAAATGTACATTTCATGAAAATTTCTGTGTACAACAATTAATGGAATTCGTGCAGTATAATAAATATATATTGGACATAGAACAATGAGTGTATACAATTTAGAACAAAGAGATTAGAACCAATAAGAACATGCAATCGACGATACATTGACGAAAACATAAACTTTACATAAACATCCATTGCAATATTTACAAACATGCATTATATCGATTAGATTGCGAACATCGATTACATGATAACATATATCAGCCAACAACCGTTATCAAAATAATTCCTTTATTACCTCAAAACATTTTAAGTGGTGTGAATCCAATTTTTAAAAAGTTATTCTATCTCAGAAAGTGTGCGGTTACTTCTTTGATTAACTATGCATTATGTAAATGCAGTAGAAATTGTGTCAGTGATTAATTCAGTTGATTCACATTTATTTGCTAGTCGAAATTGACTACAATTTTATTGAATACTGTATACAGTGAAGTAGTTCACTCACTATTTCTACCTGCAGTATACAATGTATACATCGATCACAGTACTGTATCGCGAGTGCTCTATCGATTCCACTATTTCCGTATCAGTTCGCCATAAATCATAAATCTGTTCATCACTATCAGTTTATAACATGTACATATATTAAAGTGTAAAACATAACGTCGAATTATTGTGGCTGTTGATAAGCATCGTCGTAAACAGAAGCAATTAGTCGTAGACACGCAATTAAATTAATTTAAGAAGATGTTGAACAGTGAATCTAAAGAAGAAAAATTGATTAAAAAATCTCTTGGAACACTAAAAAACCTCAATATTAAGAGCAGCCTGATGTTGTGACGAGAAAGCTTCGAATCATTGTATATATTTATATTTAACAAATATAATAGAAACGTTAACGATACTCGAAAAAAATTTTTAATTACAAATGCTCTGGTTCTTTTGCCACATGTAAAATAATATATCGTCCATGATTATGTAACAATAATGCAAGAATTAACAAATTTAAGTACCAATATAAAGCTCTATTACACTTTTTTATAATTTGGATGATAATAGAGATTGCTATAAAATATTCTCAACCCCTGGAGATAATTAAACATTTCTTAAAATCAATGTTAAATATACTAGTTCTGTAACTTTTATACTTTCCAGATGAAATATATGTTATAATGTCAAATTATAATGTTAAAATACTCTTTGTTAAAATGACACTCTAATCTCTATTGTACACAACGCATAAAAAATTCCATAGAGTACACAAGGGGTGTGCTACACTCCGACGACTGTCACGACTGAACTATCTATAATTCTGGGGCATACAAATTACTTAATACAGTCAATTCTTCCTAATTGACTCTTAGCTTGTACACAAAAATGAAGAATTTGAGAAGAGGAGATACGATGATTATTAAAGCATTGCGGTTCGTTTTCGTAGTTGTCGATTGTCAACAACTATGAAAACGAGCCGCAAAGTTGGAATAATCGTACCTCCTCTTCCCAAATTGTTAATTTTTGTTTCAAAGCTGAGGGTCAATTAGGGACAATTTACTATATTTATACTTTAAACGTTCTGATATAATGGTCAACAGAGTTTTTCGTAAAATTATAACTTACATGTATCAAAAAAGAATTTATTTGTCCAGTCAGCTGGCCTTACTTTCTATCTTCAAGAGACAAATGAACAACAGTTGTCTGTTGGGAGTTGGTCATGTGTCGTGCGCATCAAAAGCGACCCTTGTTTTTTATTGTAAGATACACTACGTTCCAGTTACGTTTTTATATTCCTTAATTTAGTACAAGATCATATTAGCATGATTTGAAGGACAATTAATTAACTATCTCTATACAACAATAAGACTAAAGTTTACAATTATTTATTTTTCTTATTTTATTTTATTCTCTTTTATTTTTTTTATTTTATTGTTGAGATAAATTATTATTTTAGTTATTGACTTCGACAAAGATTTTGAAAATATAATATAAATTATATAATAATATTATATGTAAAAATCCGGATATATTACATAAATCATATAATTATATTATAATTTATATATATAATTATATAATTAATTACATTATATTATGTAATGTAATATTTTTATATATAAGAATATTGTAA